AAATATTACTTGGAAACAATTTCCCAATATAGGGGCCTCTATCAGAAAGCTTTATCGCCAACTGTTAGGTTATTTATTTGTAGAATGACAATGGAGCCTGTTTTCTGTGATCTGAGTGTATGATGTGGCTTATAAACATGAATCAGTTTCGTTAAGCAGGCACTGGCTAGACCAGGGGTGGCCAATCTTATCCGCAAAGGGCCGGTGTCTATGCAGGTTTTCGCTGCAACTCCCTAATTAGGTCACTAATTAGAGGACTGATTGGCTGAAGAGTCCTCACACCTGGGTTTGAACAGCTGACCTGCAGGTTATCCCTAAAACCTGCATACACACCGGCCCTTTGCGGATAAGATTGGCCACCCCTGGGCTAGACCTTTGAGTGCCTTATATGTAAGTAGGAGAACTATGAAGTCAGTCCAGAACCTAACACAAAGCCAGTGTAGGGAACTAAGAGCAGGGGTTATGTGTTTGAACTTCCTGCTCATAGTGACAAATTGAGCTGCTGTGTTTCGAATATGCTGCAAGGTGTTTAATGTGCAGCACCATAGATAAACCCTGTGGCCTTATGCTTTCAGGGTTACAGGTGCCCTTTTTCTACTATAGTAAATGTTGTAAATAATTCATTTGTTCACTTTGGTTAAGGCATCACACATGGGAAGAGGGACCAGGTGACAAATGTTCTTTGTGGCATAAGTATGAATTGTCTGCAGCTCTTAAAATTACACTGAGGAAATAGATCTTCCTGTGCTCATTCCTGCTTCCTGGTTATTAAGCGTTTTCTTTCAAGGTTTTCACAGTTCACCAAGCCCTTTCTCTCCCCATGTCATTTAACAACACCGGCAGTACCTAAGACAAATTATATTATCCTAAATCATATCTTGAAAGTATGAGTATGATCCTGGACAGAAATGACTCTGCATTTTATTCAGTCTGCAAAATTACCTATATGAGTCAGCCAGAGAAACACAGGGATTATTTAACCTCGCAGCCATTTCGAATAAATAACTAAAAACAGTAGACAATAGTAAACATGCTCCACACGTATAAGGAATTTTCCCTTAAGATATCAGGAATGTTTGAGAAACCCCATACGCACATTCACAGTCACAGGAAACTCACCAAAGTGGTTTGGAATCATTAAAGTACAGTGATACCTCGGTATACGTCCTTAATCCGTTCCAGATTCTTGGACTTATACCAAACAGGACGTATACCAAATGATTTTTTCCCATAAGAAATAAAGGGAAAATTATTAATCTTTGTTATTGGCATATTATACATTGATGGGGTTATATAAAATAATTTAAACACTGCTTAATACTAAAATACATAAATACAATAGCAATTAGATTAAATAAATGAAAACATAGCGCTGGATGTTCACTGGATGGTAGCAACTAGCGTACTGACACTCGTAGGCAGTTGTGACTTTATCTCAAGAGAGGTAAACAAGGGTAGCGTGCGGTGTCGTGACTCATTTTGACCCATACAAGTTCTAGCATGTTGTTACGATCGGTTTACAGGGAAGCAGGCGAAGGGAGCCGTGAATACTAGAGAACGGTTTATTCGGGGGAAACATGTAACGTTAATGACAGACCTGGGGAAACAGACTTGAACGCGGACTAATATGCACAGGACTACAAGCAGGAAAATGCAACACAACAGGTAAACAGAAGGATTCCACACGAGGTTAACGAGGTAGGCGTGGTTCACATGAGGGCAGTACAGGCAGGGTGTGACACACGTGAGTTGTATTCCAAACAAAGGTCATATACCAAAATTTTTCACGTCCAAACAGGACGTACAGTATACCAAGTTGTACTTATTCCAAAGTGGACATATACCGCGATCGATGGTATTCATAGCCTTGGTTTTATTGAGCTAGTATCGGGAAAAATTAATTGTAGAGTCTTAAAGCACTTATGTAAGTCGTTCTGGCTAAGGGCGTCTGCCAAATGCTGCTGCTGTAAATGTACCGCTGTATTTTCCTTGATTATGATTGTCACTTCTCACAAACCTCTGGAATACTTTAGCACAAATTTTTCTCATTCAATAATTACAGCAAATTTAAAATATATTTGACTATTAAATTTAAAATTTTAATATCAGAGGTGTCTTCAAAATGTTGCCCTTGTCACATCCTGACTGCCATGTCCATGTGACCGTCTTGTCTCCTCCCTGGTGTGACCTTAACAAACCACACCTGTTACTTGTTTTTCTTACCTCTTGTTCCTAACCCTTGTGTTAATTACTCCCACCTGCTTTTCGTTAGCTCCTTTGTTAGTTTCATATATACATGCTTCCCAGTCCTGTGTTCCCCAGTTCAGTCACTGATGTTCTTCTTGTCGCCTGTGCCCTTCATTCCAGTCTCCCCATTTTTATCCCTCACAATCCCGTTTGTTTCTACTCTTTGTTCAGTCAGTTCAATAAAACCCCTTTCTGTTTCACCAACATGCCTGCCCACGAGTCCTCCGGCCTTTGAGTCACAACAGAAAGACTGGACTCTGCAAATTGCCCACAGGCTATCCCTGGGAGCCTCTTATGCTATGCATCTTGGCATGCATGCTTTCCCCTGCACCCAGATACGTACCTACCTCAGCCTGAGCCTCTAGTCAGCACACATCAATGGTTCAATAACAACCCACTAATGGACCCGCTTTGAATTAGAGGAAGTGATATCAGAGTTGATCCTGTCTGAGACTTCTGGTCCAGCCAAGGCTGCTGCTGTCTTGCCACATGCCGCTTTTCCAAAGTCCACCACTTCCTCATGAGGTGAGACTGCCCTGCTCGGCAATTCCTTACAGCTCGCCTCAGCTCCACCCACTGGCTCTCCACAACTCACCGCAGGTTCACCTACTGGCTCCCCACAGCTCGCTGCAGATCCATCTGCCAGCTCCTAACAGCTTGCTGCAGTCCTGCCCACAGTCGCAGGAGGAAGAAGTGGAGAAAGCTAGTTGTACCTGTGGCTGTCACCACCCCTGACCCGGTGCCTCCTGGCCCAGGAAGAGCCACATCGCCGACACCTGGCTGTGCTGCCCAAACCTGCCCCAGGTCCCCCAGTGTCACCCTGCTTGCCTCCAGGTGCCCCGGTTTTGCCCTGCTTACCTCCAGGTGTCCCAGCCTCACCCTGCTCATCCTGTCTCCTGATATTCCACTGGCTCCAGTTCCATCTCATGATGTTCTGCTAGCTCCAGCCCCATTTCCTGATGTCCTCCAGTGTCCATCTTGTCTCCTGACGTCCCACTGGTGCCTGCTTTGTCTCCAAATGTCCCGTCAGTACCCACCTCATCTCCAGGTTTCCCAGCAGCAGCCTTGTCTCCTGGCTTTTCACCGGTGGTCTCCTTATCCCCTACCAGCCACCATCAGCCTGTTGCCCCACTCCCTGGCTGCTGCCTGCCCAGAGGGGAGAGATCCAGAGGATACCATTCCAGAAGATTTAGAGTGGGATCCTCTGGGCCTGGTCCTGAGTCCTACTCTGCCCGAGGCTTGGGCCACTATGGTTCCAGTTCCCAGAGTGGCCGCCAGTATCAGCTGGGGCCCAAGGGACGGGCTGGCCTAGTCTCCATCTCCCGGAAGGGTAGACGGGGGAACATCATCTGTGGCAGCAATCTGGCCTTCCATTTACCCGATGTTGCCTGCCCAGGCAACCCTCCTGCTAAGGCCCAGAGGAGAGAACCCGCGGTGCCCTCCATTCCTGTTGACCCCTCAGCACTCTCCTACTCTGGCCCAGCTGTCCCCTCGGCACCACCCACCAACCACTGGCCCTCCAAAACCCTTTGGTCCTGTGATCTGGACGGGTCCCGCCCCACTTCACTTCTCCAGGGTCTGGGAGACTTCCCAGATGTTCCCTGTTTGTCATGCCACAATCCCTGTCCCATTGCCCAGTCCTGCCTTTGTTTTGTTCTGGCTTGTGTCCCCTGTGGCCCTCTCTCATGTTTCTGTCCTTGTCTCTGTTGTTCCTCCAACTGTCTGCCCTGTCTAGGTGTATGTTTTGCTGGATGTCCTCTTTGTTGTCCCTAGTTTTGTCTGGATATGTTCTATACCCTAAATCGTGTCCTGTGTTTTGTCCCGTTTCCTAGGTTTGTATTCATCTGGTGATCCTGGTATAGTGTATTCTGTCATTTCCTGTCTTGTCAGGGGGCCCTAACACTATGGTATTTTGGGATGTCAATCCCTTGTGCCCTATCAGTCCTGCCATATCCTGTCTTGTCCGGTGTCCTGTCTATCCCCAGCCCTGTGTGTCCACTCTGTCATTTGGTCCCCTTGGTCACCTCCCTGTTTGTTCATGCCCATAGGGCATGCTTCGGGGGTGGGGGGTTCTCTCACATCTAGCCCGCCATGTCCACCCAACCGTCCTGTCTTCACCCTGGCATAAATCCTAACAATCCATGCCTGTTGCTCATTTGTTTTACCTCTCATCCCTAACCCTTAGGTTAATCACTCTCCCAGCTGCCTTTCATTAGCTCCCTTGTTAGTCTTGTATATATGTGCTTCCCAGTCCTGTGTTCTACAGTCCAGTCATTGACGTTGTACCTTCTTGTTTCCTGTGTCCCTCATTCTAGGGCCCCTCACGATCCCGCTTGTTTCCAGCCTTTGTTCAATTAGTTTAATAAAACCCCTTTCTGTTTCACCAACACGCCTACTAGAGAATGTGAGCGGAGCGGAGCGGTGAGAATTTCCGCTCCTTGCTCATTAGGCTGTTGGCTCCGCCCGCTCCTCCGCTCTAATTCGCACTAAGCCGCTCCGCTCAACACCGCTCCTCGCTCCACTAAAATGTCCTCCCGCTCCAGTCAATCATGACAGTCCTCATATTAATTATTAAAGGTAACCCTTCCATCTTGCTCTAGCTAATAGTTACCAAGACAATACAGCAAAATAAGAACGTTACATTACCGATGTAAATCCAGCACACAATGTTTAAACATTTATTTTTATTATGCTTTTATAAGGAAAAAAGAATTACAAATAAATAAGATTAAATGTATAAATAGATGATATATTAGAAATATTTCTACAACAAGGCTATACTTTCCAAAATACCACTGATTGCTCAATATGCATAAATTCATAAATAATGATAAAGATGCACAAATAAATAAAAGAATTATAAATATATACGTGTTATATATATGTGTGTAGAGGCATTTCCAACATCAACTCTTGGCATTTTCATTGACTGCATTGAACTGAACACATGGTTCATACAGTAAGGCTTGTGTTATGATGATGCTGTAGATTGATGTTCATTGTAAAGATATTTTTTCTTAATCAAATAGCTTATCCATGTGTAGACATTGGATAGTAGTACGTGTGATTAGGATGGTGAAGACTTATTTCTTGCTGGTATCTGCTGATATGTAGCTCAGGATTCTACTGATGGTAATTGCACGGACTTGGAAACCCTTCAGTATTTTGCACATCTGCAATCTCTCATCAAAGGTGTGATCTCTGAAATCGGAATTCTGCAAAACATAAATATTACCAGTGGTTAAATGTAAAGTTTTTATTTATTTATTTATTTATTTATGCGTTTTAGCTATATTGTGATTAAGAAAACACATGATGTTTGAATCTGTGGCCTGTACTACGAAGCGGGATTACTGGCTTATCGGGGTAACTTGTCGGATTTAAGGTACCACAGTTTAAATGGACTTCATATTCGTTCATTTACATTTTGCCCAGACTACCTTAAATCCGATAAGTTACCCCGATAAGCCAGTAACCCCGCTTCGTAGTACAGGCCCCTGCTGATTTAAAAAAATCCCTTACCTTTAAAGTTGAAGGGTTTGTAGGTGAAGCTGAGAAGCAATGCTATTCAAGACAAAACGGTAGAGACTTATGGCTCATTTTTATCAGCAACAGACAGCAGTACATACATATATGTTAATAAGTTAATTGATATTTAAACATAGTTCACATTTTAAAAATATGTTATTTTTCACGATACTGTGAGAGTATGTGGTTAAGTAAGGGACATTCTTCATACCTCCGTGAGATCACTGATTGCCCGCACCACAGTGGAGTCCAGGGTGGGGTCTGCGTACTTCTGAAGCAATTCTTTGTAGTGCTCGAGATCCGCAACGACGTTCCGCAAACATTCTTTCTGCAAAAAAAGCATAATCAAGCATAATTAAGACAGGGGTCGGCACCGACCCGTCTAACATGAGATAGGAAAAGCGCGCTTTATTACCCTACATTTTCTGGGTCATGCAAATGCCGAATCATAATCAATCAAACTGACGGGGTCAAGTACCTGATCAAGGTTGCTGTTCTGAAATCCAGCGCATCCAGTCCCCATCTGTGGGATTGATTAAGAGTGGACATGTAGTATATTAATAAGATAACTAAATATTATAGCCCAGTAGTAATGGCGCATAGTTATGCACGTAGGCTATAGACATTATATGTGTATAATATTTGTCTAGTTGTTCGTTCATTCATTCATTTATTCATTCAAACATTCATACATACCTGTACTTCGGAAGGCAGACAGGCCGATACGGTTGAATTTGATGTGTTCATTTTTATACGTTGCTCTGAGCAGTTTATTCCTTTGAACACACTGTCCTGTGTAGGGATGGGTATCGTTAAGATTTTAACGGTATTACTACTTCTATCGATACCACTTATCGATTCGGTACTTTAACGGTACTCTTATCGGTACTTTTTGTTGTGTTTTTTAATTAAAAAACCAAAACAAATTGAGAACAGAAATAACAACATTTTATTTTTTAAATATAAAATAATTATCTATAGCTTAGCAAACACCAATGTTTGAGCAAATATCTATTACACAAACAAAACCAATGATTGTAAAACAAATAAATAAACACAATTTTCTTGTAAATGAATATACAATGATTTAAAGGAACATAGTTGGAGCACGCAGGTAGGCTGCAAAGGAACTAGCAGCTTTTAACCATTCTTCTGGAGAAAAATCAACATCCAAAAAGTTGCAAGATGCAGCTAAACAATCATCTGTGGCTAATGTTTATGTTTTACCATGAACACATTCACATAAATTAGTTAACTGTGTTTGGGATTAAAAGTAATACAGGTTTGGAACCTATTGCAATGTACGCTAAATTGAATGTATTTAATCACTACAAATTAATTTTTAGGTAAGCTCTGCTTTATAATTTCTTAGTTTATTATTATTTATCTAGGCCTATTTGTAAAAGCAGTACTATAAAGGTATTTTAATGTTTAATATTTATTTAGGCTACTACATAAAAAAATACTCTAAATATTTAGCCTATATGTAGGCTATATGTAACTGAATGTGTGTTTTTTAAATTATTAACATTATAATACTGATTTAGAGAGACCTTATATGTTTATGTCGTTATTTTAACATAGCATACATACCTGAGGAGGCGGATGCTGAAGTAGAAGCTAGGCAGTGGAAAACTTCTCATTTCTCTATCTACACATAATGCACTTTGACTAGATGTTTTGATAAATTGCTTGTGTTTCCGACTTTACAAGCAAAAATCTTGTTGCAACGAGCATTGTCCGTGTTCACACGGGTGAAGTGTAACCATACTTTGGATCGTTTGGCTCTCTCCGCCATCGTCACTCCATAAGCGCGAGCTCTCTCGTGTTGTGTGCGCGCGAGTTCTGTGTACTGCGAAACAGACTACATTTCGTGCGTGAGATTGCAAATAACAGCAGTGCAGGCGAATAACGAATATTATCGCAAATTACAAAAGGCTGGTCAGGTAAAATATGCTAGGTAATGTTTATTTAACAATAATAAATGGGATTTATTTTTATTTTTTTTATTTCTCCAGTACCGACAGCAGAACCGTTAACGTCAGAGCTTATCGATACTTCGGTCTTTTATAATTAGGCACCGGGACCGATTAAGTACCGGGTTTCGGTACCCATCCCTAATCCTGTGCATAGCAAACATTGCCTCATTAAACCACCGAAAGCTCTGTTCAGTTTTAAAATTATTTTAGATTTTAATATGTACAGGGAATATTTTTTCTTAATTTCCCTCAGTGAACCCGAACGATAATAATCACAACAACGACAATAATAATGGTTCTGTCACTATGACTGGGAATTACTTACAAGTGCCATAACCTCCGTGACATTCCACAGCAATGCTCTGGAAAATGTTGCACAATCCCCATTGTTCCCTAGACTCAGTTTGTCGAGCGCTCCCAGCGGGCTGGTCATAGCTGGCTGAAAGCAGAGCTGGACGAGCAGCAGCCAGGGGATGAACGCTATAGTACGGCGCAAACAAACGGACAACAATAAACAAATAAGATCTCACGTTTTGTTTGCAGGTGATAAATTAAGGTTAACAACATATTCAATCCACGAGAATATTTAAGATGTCATTGAACAGTATAATATCTTCTTTTAAAATATCCTAAAAATACCCTATATTATTTCATATGCACGCACAAATAAGGTTCACAAGGTGCACTTATTATTTAAATTAAGGTTAACAACATTCAATCCACGAGAATATTTAAGATGTCATTGAACAGTATAATATCTTCTTTTAAAATATCCTAAAAATACCCTATATTATTTCATATGCACGCACAAATAAGGTTCACAAGGTGCACTTATTATTTAGCTGTATATTTCGCTTGCATTTGCTAGTACAACAAGGCGGAGGAAATGTATCTCCTAAAATAGTAATTTAAAGTTAAAAATACTTACAAAATTTGATGTTTGGCAGCATTTTGTATCTCCGTGGCTCTGAAATTCGTTTTTGTCTTTTCGGCTCATTTCTGTTTATATATATTGTTTGACAGCTTAGGGATTTTCCTTCAACAGCAAAATAATAGAAAAAAAACAATACACACCATCTAAGAATTTGTCCCCTGCGTGTAGTTTCCTGTTTTGCCGATACTATTAGAAATAATACGTAGAAACTGGAATTAACGCTGCGACGCTGTTTCGATTTTACGGTGTTGGGAGCAGAATCAGTCGTCTGGAACTATAAAGCGATATTAATTCTTTGAAAGAAGTAACAAAGTCAGAAATGACTTGGTGGGTTAATAACATTAATCAGTAGACCTATTAGAGAGGAACTTCATGACAGATTGTTAATGAGAACTATGATGACGTGATTGGGGAAATGTCATCAGGTGAGTGTTTAGCGGTTCAGAAAATTAGCGGGGCTCGATTTTGATTGAATGACAGACACCTTGAGGAAGTTATAAGGGTAGAGACCTTGTTCAGAAAGGGAGAGATACGGCGGGTTGTTTCGTGAGGCAGGGACGTTGTTGGACCGCTTAAAAAAAACTTGGTGGCAGCTTAAATAAAGAAATTGCTGTTACATTACACTGGGAGCGATTCCACACGAGTGCCCAATGAATTTGGTCCAGGTCGGTCAGATAATGTGCAGGATCTGCAACCTGTTGAACCTATTGCACAGCCATTACAACCTAAAAACCCATACAGAGACCAGTTTTTATGCCAGAGACTTTAACTGGGATGGGGGGGGGACTGGTTCTGAAGTCAATCATTGGAGTGAAGAATTAAAGTTAAAATTTATGTCTCTATTACTTTAAGGATGAGCCTGGGAGATAAGAATTCAGTTAAGAAGTGCTAAGCCACCCACCCTAGAGGAGGCCATTAGTGTTGCAACAGAATTAGAGTTGATTCATGATTTAGATCAAACCGAAGCAAAGGTAGAATCTAAAGTCATGGGAATGAATCACAGATGGGGGTTTTATTAAGTGTTGTAGAGGGGTAGAGACAAGAATTAAAAACCTTATAAGCTACAGTCGTCAAAATGAAAAACTTGCAGGGAAATTTACATCGAAATATAACCCAAGGGAATCACCCACATCCTGACCTAGTAAATCCCGTTTGACCAGACCCTTCAGTAAATCATAATGGTAGGGAACGGGGGGATGGGTGTTGGGAATGTGGCTGTAATAGACACATCAGAAAGAACTGTCCTTATTTTAAATAGATGGGGCTGGTACAGAGGGCCAAATGCCTGCCCCTCATCATTGCTATTCTGGCCTAAGGATGGAGACTCTGGGAGATGCATGTGGGGTGGGGGTTTATGTATCTGCTAAAGTGGGTGGGGTTAATTGTTCCCTTTTGGTAGACACAGGAGATCAGCTGTCAATTATATCTCATACTTTTTGGTTGAAGAATAGGTCGGAGGGGGCTCTGTTAATTGGGTATAATGGCAAAGTGTCTGTGGCTAATGGGGGTATATGGAAATATTTGAGAGGTGGCAAACAGTTTGTGAGTTCGATAATTTAGCCTTAATAACAGATTTTCTAGTAGCAGATATTGCACCAGAAGAGGGGTTGCTGGGAACAGATTTTTAATGTAAATTCAGAGAGGTAATTGATTTGAAGGGTGAGTTTTGGTATGCTAATGGGGAAGAAATTGCCGTTATAACTCGTTCATTCTTTAGGGGAGAGCAGGCCAGTGACTGTTGAAAAGGATATTGTCATTCTTTCTCTGAGTGAAGCGATCATTCCAGGGAATGTCAATGGGGCCTGTATGGAAGTTAAGCTGGAACCCTCAGGAGCCCTCCCAAAGCATTTTGATGTATTAGTTGCTAGAGTGGTGAGTAAAGTGGAAATGGGCTTGATACCTGTTAGGCTTATAAATGTGGCAGAACATGCACATACGTTGAAATGGGGATGTCAGTGGGTACTTTTTATCCTGATGTCCACGTGGAAGAGGGATTAACAGAAATCGTTAAGACCCATGAAGACCAAGGAGGTTGGTCTACAGACTCCCTGGCGAAAGAACTGGGTTTGCACAATACGTTTTTGTGCATCTGATATACAGGGAATTTATGGACTTTTGACCAGCCACTTGTCTGTATTTAGTAGGGACGACTCTGATTTGGGAAGGACTCATCTGATTCTCCATCAAACTGATACTGGACAAGCGCCACCTCTTAAAATGGCACCTAGTCATGTGCCCTTGCATTTGCAGCAGGAAGTTACGGATTTGAGACAGTTGTCGCATATGCTAGTCAGGCTCTTACAAAAACAGAGCGTAAATACGCAACGATCAAAAAGAAATTGTTGGCAATGGTAACTTTTACTAAGTTTTTTAAGTGTTATTTGCTTGGGAGAGAATTTATTTTAAGAACAGACCATAATTCCTTGCGTTGGCTATACAGTTTCCATGGGTTAGAGTGCCAGTTAGCCCATTGGATGGATCAGCTTGCAAGTTTCCAGTATTATATTGTGCAGTGTCCAGGTAAGCAGCATAGAAATGCTGATGCGCTGCCTCGGTTACCCTTCACAACAGCTAGTAGGGCTGAAGAGACAGCTGGTCAGGTGATAAGATCGCAAACTACCATTACGTCTGTAATGGCATTGCAGGAAGTCCTGGAGCAAGGTTTACTCTGCGGGGCCTTCATAGACGAAGGGCCTGGGCTATCAGAGAAGGGGGCATTGATGTCACAAGGGCGTGGCGTTGTAAGTGGGGAGGAGTTGAAGATGGCTCAACAAAGTGATTCCAATATAAACTTCTTGATACAAAAAAAGTCTACTGTGTGGGAAACTGACACTGGTTGTCCGGCGGAGCTGGGGAAGTTTGCTGGGGTGTGGAGCCATCTTCAAGTGCGGGATGGGATGTTTGTGCAGGTACCTTGTAGTCAAGGAAATTTAGAGTGTATGAGCCGAGTGGTGCTTCCTAAAGCTATGGTGCCATACATTCTTACACAACTCCATAATTAATTAATAGGTGGTCATTTAGGGGTACAGAAATTGCGAAATAAGGTAAAAGACCGCTTTTTCTAGCCAGGTTGGTCCGGGAATGTTAAGAGATGGTGTGTTGAATGCAGAGAATGTGCTTCAAGTAAAACTGTAGGTCAGGGACCTTGTGCCCCTTTACAACCCACTGTTACGTCACACCCTTCTGAGCAGATTGCCTTAGACATCATACATTCTGATTATTGGTGACTACTGTGGACAGAGGCCTTTTCTATGAAGAATCAAGAGGCGTGTACAGTTGCAAACATCTTGACAGAGGAATGGGTATGCAAGTATGGGACACCATATACCATTCACTTTGATCAAGGGAGGAATTTTGAATCATTGTTATTTAAGGAACTGTGCCGGTTGCTGGGCATACATAAATCCAGGACAAGTCCATATTCACCTCAGTCAGATGGAAGGGTAGAAAGATTTAATCGAACACTGGTGTCTATGTTGTCCTCTTTTGTGGATGTGAACCAGTTGAACTGGGATGCTCTTCTACCTTATGTCATGATGGCGTATTGGAGCAGTGTGAACTCAAGTACTGGTTTTCTCCCTTTCGGGTTCTCTTTGGGCAAGATCGCGGCCAGCTGTTGTACATCCTGATTCAGCTCCTGCCTCTGTGGTGCCTGCTGCTGCTCCTGCCCCTGCCTCTGTTTTGCCTGCTGCTGCTACTCTTGCCTCTGCCTCTGTGGGGTGCCAGCTGCTGCTCCTGCCTCTGTTGTGGTGCCTGCTCCTGCCCCTGCCCTTGCTTTGGTGCCTGGCTCTGCGTCTGCGTCTGCCTCCATTGTGATGCTTGACTTTGCCTCTGCCTCTGCTGCAGTGGCCTTTGACTCTACCCATGCCCCTGTTGTGGCCTCTGACTTTGCCCTTGCCTTAACTGT